CTTTAGCAGCTGATTAGAAGAAAAGAAAAACTGGGCCTCAGTCACACTTCAGGTGTGGATTAACTTAGACTAAAAACTGAATTTTAAACTTACAGGAGCGGTAGAGCACAGGAATATGATCTGTGGACAGCTTGTGATCACTCCTCACTCCCATCAGCAGGGGACTTCCCCTCCTGCACAGCAACATTTTTTTATGAGTCAACAACAACCAATATCTGTATTAACAACAGTTTGACAGCTTTAGTGGGAATGTACCTTGTGCCAACTGCCTCTCCAGGGTAGTGGACACTCTTGAAGACCAGGGCAAAAGCTCCCTCCTGCCCGGTGGAAGAAAAAAAACAAAACAAAAAAAAAAAACATCAGACAGTCTCTTCTATCTGCTATCACTTCAGGAGAAGCATTGTGCATTCACGTGGCCTTACCAGCTGCTGGATCACCCGTTCCACCAGTGTAGAAAAATTGAGGTCGTCACTCTCCCGGTTGTCATACATGTACTTCACCAGCTTGGCGATGGACTCTGTGTCAGTCTCAGATTCAAACTCATAGCCTTTGCTCTCCTGTGGAGATGTGGAGAGAGTGAGTTAGTTCTGCCACCTGTCTGTGCTGAAAAAGACATGAAGAATAGATGATAAAAGAAATTTCCTCACCAAGAATTTCCTCAGGTCTTTGTAGTTGGTGATAATTCCATTGTGAATGACAATAAACTCTGCAGACCGAAAGATTGTCATAAACTTTAGATACCGAGATCCCTGCACCCAGGTGAAACTGACTGAGCTGTTGTGGAATACATGGTAAAATGTTGAGCTGTGTTGAGCAAGTTAGCGTTGCATCTTTAACACCACTAACCATTTGTCTTGTCAGATCTGTGTGGATGGCTGTTAACTGGGCTTGGTACGCCGTGAGTAGCCCAGCGGGTGTGAGCAATGCCAAGGTGAACATCAAACTCCACGTCCAGGTCGATATCCTGCTGTTCTAGAGGTCAAAAAAACAAAACCAAGCACAGACAATATTAAGTATCCCAACTGTACCACAGTATACAGGATGAGAAATGAACCATTCATTTGTTGCTGATTTATTCTTGTTACATGAACAACTTCATCTTAGCTTACTGTGGATCTCCTCATCCAGAGCTTTCACTTTTCCAGAGGTCTTGATCAGTTGGATAGACTTGGCGTTTGACTCCCACTCCTTCCCATTGCCACCATCAATTCCCACTCCTGACAAAAAATTTAAAAAAAAAAGGTATTTATTACAGTCGATAAATGACAACAACAATAACAAAAAAAAGAAACTTCGAGACAGAGACTGATCCTTCAATTGTGTTTTGTTGTAGTTGCAGATTTTGTCCACGAAATGGCACTCTGCAACTTCCCTGTTGGCTATACTTGTGTTTGGAATACCACTAATTAGCTGACACAATCAGCCGTACTTTGTTTAAAGTACTTTTCTATTAAAAAAAAAAAAAAAAAAGGTTATTTTTAAACCTTATGTCATGTTATCTTGCTGAGGTCACATAACTAAACACGGTATATGTCTAAAAAATCCCATATAAGCTGGGCTATAGTATCATTTTATTGTGAAGCACTTTGTGATTTTTATCTGTGAAAGGTGATATACAAATAAACTTTACTTGGTATCAACTGGTTGAAAAAGAAAAAGTGTGCTACACTTTAAGATCTGTGTGGAATACAAAAGGGACTTAACATAAAGTAAATTTGCTTTATTAGGGGTGCGGTGAATCTACATAATGGTTGTTCAATAATTCGCAGCGAATATCAGTGTTGCTTTTTGTTCCTCACTCATTAGAATAACTAAACAAAACATAAGTGTGACTGATAAGATCAGTCTAATGCTACACTCACTATCAGAAACTTGGTGGCATTATCAGAATGAGTGTCCTACAGGCAGACAGTGAAGGAAAGAGGCCTGAGGGATTTAAAAAAAAAAAAAAAACACACACACACAGTGTACTAGTGCTACGAGCCCCCCCCAAGCCAATCTCTCACCAGCTGAGTCATAGCCTCTGTACTCTAGACGTTGCAGTCCTTTGAGGAGGATCTCAAGGATCTCACGGCGAGTTCTTGGCACATGGTAGTTGAGATAGGCAAAGATTCCTGCAGAGTAAAACAAAATGTCAAGATTCAGTTCTGGGTTCTTACTTCAAAGGTCTGCTTAGAAGTGCAACTGAAAGTGAAGGTTGACTGAAATGCCTTTCGGAGAGGTACATCCACATTGTTAGTTAGCTGACGCTCAATACTTAATGCCGTTTGCAGCCCTGCTGCCTAGTGATTAGGGCTGGGTCATATGGCTGACATCAATATCAAAATATTACTAAGAATAGGCCTATATCTGGATATAATGAAAGAAAAAACAATAAAAAAAACAATAAAAAAATCTAAATGTTCTCTAACACACAAAAATATGCTAAAAATCATCAGTCACAATACAAAAAACCACCAGAAGATGATGTGTGATAATACTGAATTTCTGACCTACACTAATAACATGAACAAATCTGTCAAGGCAGCTGAAACCAAGAAGAATGTAATGCAATTCCTTAAGAAATGAGAAAGACCATTTAGTTACGTCAGCCTCTATTAGGATACTATTTAGGTTTCCACATAAAAACTCTATGGTAGGTCATGTCATAACAACAGATATTGTTTTCTGTCAGGGATGTAAGACCTGTTGAGAGTCAAAAGCCTAGAGTGTATCTATTGACCTGGTGTCTGTCAAGATAATATCTCCTGCCTAGGGAAAGGGTGGTGAAGGAAGTAACTGTCACAATAACACAAGACATCTAAATATAGATTTTCACTTTTGGTCCAAGATACTTATATTCAAGTATACACAACTGCACATTAAAACTATCATGGGGAAAAAAATAAAAATAAATAAAGACTTTATTTATAAAGTGTTTAGAGCGTCACTCTGTAAAATCAGACTGCCAGTTGTTTGTGTGTATTTACTAAACTGGACTCCATTGAGTAACTCACACTGACAGGAGTGTTTGCTAAAGGAAAGGCATGAAAAACAGCCCTGTTACACAGCTAACCATTGACAGATCAATGCAAATGTAGAGCTAGAGGGCTGCGTGGTTCAACAGAGGATTCATTCAGAAGAGCAGATGATCGAGGAAGGTAATGAGGGCCAAATTGCAAAGGGAAAGTGTTATAAGCTGGCTAAAAAAATTAAATCACAAGACCTTTGCTTAAGAAATAGGTTTAACAGAAGTAAAAATTGAATCAGAACAAAGTAACATCTTAATCAGTAGATATTTACAGATAAGCATGTGTTTTTGGAATCCCAAATTTTCCAACTAAGGAAGTCTATCTGGCCGAGTGTAAGTGATTATAGTGACAGTGATGCATTACAACTTATCAGTCACAAGTGTGTGTGTGTGTGTGAGTGTGGGAGTGTGAGAGAGAGAGAAAGGAGTCAGAAATCAGTGGGCACTGACAGATAACATCACTAGCAACTGATCATGACCAAACGCATCATTTTCTAGGTAACGTTACTTTTTCAATAGAAGTTCGACGTTAGTGCAATATGACAGCGATAAACGAGTGTTAACTTACATCCAACCGGGCACTTTTATTCACGCTTTCATTTTAAGCCCTTAAAGACTCCATTCACAAAAATGTCTTTAGCATTTAACGCTAGAGTGTTTATGGTTTGTGCTAGTGGAAAGTTACTTACAGGATGGACATAATGTCACCGCAACCGACGTTAGCCGTCTGGCGTTAGCAGGAAGAGAACCGGACATCATTTTAACGCCACTCACACATGTCGACTTCACATCACACAGCATGTACAGTAAAATTAAACACTGGTTGCTTTATATCTGTCTAACGTTAGCTAACAGCATCAGCAGCGCGCATCTTATATTCGCTAACTGAGGTTAGCCACCCCTAGCTAGCTCATTCAACTGACTTGTACATTTAGCCTAACACAGCGATGCTAACAGGATTTCATATTAGATATTGGTGTTCTGGTAAATAGGGAATAAGACACATGTAGAATTTATTCAATACTCACCACACATGTTTACAGCTTGCCTGTCAGTTACAGCCACTCGGGTAGCTAGGTGCGCCTGTCAGTTAAGCTTCACCCCCTTCTGATTTAACTGACTCATAGCCAACCGCCTTCTTCCATGCAGCCTTCTGATTGGCCGAACGAACTGTCCGTCAAGTTGCACCAGGTTGCACCTACCGACGCAGGCACTCCTGACGTGGCATCAGGATGTAGATCCGTGGGCAGCCCATTTCCTAAATCGACGTGACTGCGCATGCATATGCCCTCTGTTAACTGGAAATGAAAGTAAAATCGAGCTAAACAATGCAGCACGATGTTTGCGTTCATTTATAATTTGCTAATAAAATGACAGATGCCTATAAAGCCTCTTTATTGCACGGACATTGCAAGGGTTTTTAGAAATACTATTCCTCCAGCACAACCCACCCACCTTGTAAGAAATTGTAAACCTTTTATTCATGAATTTTCAAATAATTATTTAAATCGTACAGATTATCCCTGTATGTCAAAGCCATCTCTGTGGTGCGAGGCATGTAATACTGATAAAGAATACAAAATTGATTTTGTATTCTCTATCAGTATTGTATTCTCTAATAAAATAAAATCAAAATACATTTGAACAAATTTAAAGTTAAAAAATATCTGAATCTGTTTTGTAATGTCTTACCATAGAATATAAATGCCTCTTCATGTCATTAAAACTCCAAGAAACATTAGGGTAAATGCCTAAATTACAGCCCACCTTAAGTAATATCTCTAAAAACGCTAAACTAGTCTGAGAAGTATTACAAATGTAATGATATATTCATTTGTCATAAGCATTTCTACTTGGAAAATTACAAAAGAAAAGTTTTGTAGTAGTAATAAATAGAAATAATGATTGATTATGACAGTGATAACTAGCAGCATGATTTTGTAATATTAAGCACGTAAATGATTCACACCACATACACAACAAAATACTGTTAGATTATGAGGCACAGCACTCAAAAACTTCAAAAACTTTATTTATATACATACAGTATGTATTTTGGGCTATTGACAAGCAACTGACTCTGAAAAGGTTTATCAATGTGAAATAATAAATACAACTTATTTCAGTTCTACAGTCATCCAGTGCTATGACTGAGCTCTTCGGTCACAATATTTTAAAATACCTTTATTGTACAGAAAATTGCTACCAGAATAAACAATAACATCTGGATAAACGATGATGGTGATGATGATGGGTTGTCACACACACAGCTGTGCTGTATATCTATGAGCTTCTTTTATTGCGACTCTGGCTTGCATTAGAGCAGGTGGACGGCGGAGGGAGGAATGTGTAAATGCAGTTCTGGTTTCAGTGTAGCTCAAACTTGAACAGCCTCCTCCTCATCATCCTCATCCTTCACCTGTGAGAAAATAATAAAATAAGAGTATTCAAGTAGGACAGACCTCACCATGTATATTCTTTAGGACAGACCTCACCATGTATATTCTTTAAAGTTTAGAGTTTGGTTGCCCTATTATTTTATGTGTGCTGATTGCAGCTGGCAATTACGAGCACCAATATAAACAGTTATCCAATCAAAAAGAGTACTTTAATATCATTATATTTATATATAGTTTAATTATTCAACAATTGACATCCCAGCCCTTACTGTGAACCAAAACTGAATACAAAATATTGATGAAGTCAGAAAGAAGTGTGAATTGCTGTAACTAAATTAAGCAGCAGGTTTGCAAAGCATCCTTTAGCAGAAGAACAAACCTGCTCCACTGACTCAACTTCGGGGACGTAAAACTGCAGCATGTTTTGGATTCCACTCTTCAAAGTAACAATGGAACTGGGACAACTGGTGCAGGAGCCCTGCAGTTTCAGTTTAACAATGCCATCCTCAAACCCCCGATACAGAACATCACCTCCATCCTCCTGCACTGTTGGCCTGGGGAAGAAGAACATCAGTAAGTGTGGGAAAAAGGACAGAAAGCCGTGGTAACAGGGGACAGACACTGAGTGCATCTTCACAAGCAGCTACCTTATTCGAGTATCCAGCAGTTCTTTGATCATAGCGACTACTTCGTCATCGTCATCTGATGGTGCTGACAAGCAAAGTGAAAATATTTTTTTAATGCATTTATAAATAGCTTGCCCTACTAACTAGTTCAGTGTCTTACCCTGCCCACCTTGTTCACATCCTTACCTGTATCTGCACTGGGTTTGCTGTCCTCATTAACAACAGGAAGTCCAGAAGAGAAAAAGTCCATAATGGCAGCAAATACATCAGGCTTGATTACTTTCCATTCCATATTTGGATCAGACTAAATGGAGATAGAAATAAAAAAAACTAGTTATTCCTAGAAATGGCATAACAACATGCTACACTATGAGGTACTGTATGTATTTTTACCTTTGATATTGTGATAAAGTCAGGGCCCAGGAACACACCCTTGACTCCATCAATCCTGAACAGCTGTCTGAAGACAACACAGAACATTACTAAAAGGAGCATTTTAGAATGTTTGAAGTTGTTTTTTTTAATGAGGCCATATAAACCAAACCAATAACAGAGATAATGCTTAAAAATGAAAAAAACAACAACCAATATTTCACTTATACTACAATTAACACATGTATATTTCATATACATAGCTGAAACTTCTAAACTTATATATCATTTTTCAACGCATTGCAATGTGCATTATTTCCAATAAAACTGTTAACACTGACTGATTTAAAGCTCATGTACATGTAAAAGCTCAGACAAGCAACCACAATAACAGAATAAAATCATGCATTGGAACACACATTTATAAGTACTGGATTGGACAGATAGAGGAACATTGTGCTCATCTTAAAAGGACACTGGCTGCAGACTCAAGGACAACCTGAGGAGCACACAGACGTCTTCCTGCTATTATTGTGCTTAACAAGAATTCAAACTGATTTGGTTCTCATGCTACTGGTACGGCAGGCGAATAAACCTTCACAAGCGACTTGCCAAACATAAGTCTAACTAATAATAACAATGGCTGCATTCCATTTAGGTGTGAAATGGTGGAACATAGCCATTATCAATATTATTATTTAAACCTGTGCTATATCAAAACGCATCTTGTCAAAAACTATTTATTACTTTATGTTCAGTAACCTGGTATTTCAGAAGTCATATACCTGGCTAAAGGTGAGCAGTAAGCATCACGAGGGCTGGCAAAATTCATAGTTCCTGATTCAAGAACTGTGCGACCAGGCAGAAACTTTAGGCTGTTTGGATTTGGTGTGTCCTGGGTCTGCACAAACATGGTCCTTCCTGGAAGGAGACAAAACATAGAAGACAAGAATGTAATCAGTTATATGGTAGGGGTGTGACGAATTCTTGAGCCACGATTAAAATATTACAAGAGGTTTCGTTAGATTAAAAGCTGTCTCGCAGAGCAAATCAACTCTGCTCAGCTGATGCGACACCGGCGTGTGATGGTTATCAAGTGAACCCGCTCTCTCACTGCAAGTCCACACAGTTGTGACGGAGTGGTAACTAACTGGTAGAGTTGCATTTTAACATCTAAAAATGATGTGTGTGCATTTATGTTAGATTGCTGCATGATCAGAAGTATTGACAGTTAGTTTTGGTTTCACATGCAACATGCAGTCCCAAACTGTGTCGTTCAAACATGTTGAAGGGAAATTCACGGAAAATTAGCGTGATGCACAGCAGGGTATAGGGCAGGTAGACTTTTAAAAAATATTATGAATTCTCATTAAATGATGACGTTAGTCTTGTAATATTATGACTTTTTAATGTGCAGAAAGTTTTTAACACCTATAATAAATGAGTTTATCATTGAAAAGGTGCCACAAATCACATTTAAAGAGGTAATTTCCCCAAACAAAAGACTCAAAAGAGGAGGGAGGACTAAATCATGCCTGCATGTGTGCTGACTCAGTAGGGACGACATTACATGCAAAAAGGATCTACAGGAGAAACATACCTGAGAGCCTTACTGCAATATAGTTATATTTTGAATTCTTACCTGTCACCTGCATATTGTGTTTCCCATTACATAAATAAAAATATTTCCACCATAAATTAGTGCAGAAAAATTCACCAGAATGCAGGAAATTTGTTTAATGTTTAAAATTTTCATATAACTTAGCATTGAAGATTTCTTAAAAATAGTGTTAAAGTCTCGTCTCGATATCGTGAACCCAATCTTGTGTCTCATCTTATCTCATGGAGTAAGTGCCTCGTCACACCCCTACTATATGGTGTTTTCCCCGAGTTAGAGAGCCACAAGATGGTTGCAGGTATACAAACCAGGAACAACCCAATGGGGGTTTTGTGGCCATCTGTTCAAGACTCCTGTGTTATGTGAAGGCCAGTGTAATCCGGCGCTCTGACATCCACTTCCAGCAAGACTGAGACAAAACACAAGAGATATTCAAAAGGTTACAGCAACAATCAGAATATATAGTTCAGTTAGACATATCATTTCCTCCCTCCTACTTGTGGATGTGGCAGTAAGCGATTCAAAGAGGCTGAGTAAGACTAATCTACTAAATCCCTTTTGTGCACAGCATGTAGTCCATTATCTTATTATAATTCATAACTGCAAGTGATTAATAATACAGATTAGTTTTTATTCTACACCACCTTTATCTGGCAAAATGCAGAATATCAGGATTACTGGTGGTTAACACTGCTACCTCACAACAAGCAATAAAATCAAAGCTACACAGGAGAGTCAACACCTCAATCGTTTCTGGAATTTGTGGCTTGATATTGCCTAACATTGTCTATGAAACAATTGCAATGTCCAGATGCGCACATGGACTCAAGGCTTGCCTGCTGACAAAGGTCACAAATAAATTTGGACTTGGAGGAAGTGCAACTTATTTTTTCCTTAATTTTGTTGACGTTAACGTTACATCTGTAAAGAATTGCTTAAAATATCACGACATTAAAGAGCCATTTTTGTTTAACAATGTCAAAACACCTTTAACAACTAACTGTGATCTAAGGAGTTAAAACAATATCAGACACATTTATCACGCTGCTCTGAGAAATAAGTTAATAATCTGTCTGCGTCACTCTGCAACTTAGCTAAACTTAGCTAGCTAGCTAGCCGCTAATATTTAACCTCAGTCGGACTCTGGTACTTAAGAAGTCGATGCATTCATACAAGCATTAAAAAGCACAACAAAAAGGACATCAGGTAAACAGGTAAACTTACGGACGGGAAAGTCTTGCTGAAATACCCAACAACCTGCCGACCTGTCTGTAAGTCGCCATGTTTGTTATTGATACCTAAAAAGAACGGAAGAGGGCTGTGCTATTTGCGGAAGTGACGCACTATTATTGTACGCTACATAAAATCGTCCCTCGACATCTAGCTAGTTGCGTTGGACAAGCGCAATTTTGTTAAATCGCTGAACTAAGAAATTGCGTTAAAAAATGCCGTGTGGCAAAAACTTTAGGAGGAGAAGGGACTCGTCAGACGTGGAGGAGGATGAAACAACTGAAGAAGTCAGGTAAAGTACTTAATTGAAACTGTACAACATGAACAAAGATACTAACTTGCTAACGTTAGATTAACGTTATGTCAGCTAATCAAACGTTAGCTTAGCCAACAGCCCGATCAACGTTAAACACGACACCATAACGGATTTTGTCTATTTGGATTTAGTTGTATTTTTAGCTAATGCCATTTAATGTGTATGCGTATTTCTTGTTTTTGTTTTTTTTTTTTAGATCAAAATTAGAAGAGGCTAAAGAGCTTCAGAGTTTGCGGAAACGACAGACCGGAGTCAGGTAACTTGAATGTTAACGTTAGTGTTTCTCAAACGTTAAACACGTTTAAAATCTATAGTATATTATGAGAAACATTTTAGATATCAATTGATTATCATATTTCCCTTTTGTTTAGTGTGACCGCTCTGTTGGTAGGAGAGAAACTGCCACCAGAGGCTGAAATTGATGTAAGTGATCTTTTTGTCTTCGTAGTAATTTGGATTAACCAGATTATGAGTGTTTAACTTACCGTTTGTTTAATGCTTCTCACAGAATGACCCTTTCAAATTGAAGACCGGAGGAGTTATTGACATGAAGAAAGTCAAAGACAGGAATAGGGACATGTAAGTAAATCTCTGAGCGCTTAAGTTATTTGCATGCAGTGTTATTAACACATTGTGTATGTACTAGTATGTCATTACATAACGAAAAATGTGTGTCATCACGTGTGACACTGATTTGACCCAAGATGACCTCTGTTTCACATGCAGGACAGAAGAAGAGACTGACCTCAACCTGGGCACCTCCTTTTCTGCTGAAACTAACAGACGAGACGAGGATGCGGACATGTATGTCTGCTTGTTTCACGCTGCAATAGTTATAGCATATAACACATGGATACTCACACACGGTGTTTCATAGAAATATTTTTCATGAATCTATCCTCGCAGGATGAAATACATTGAGACAGAGCTGAAGAAGAAGAAGGGGTTGGTGGAAGCAGAGGAACAGAAAGTTAAGGTGAAGAATGCAGAGGACCACCTGTATGAGCTGCCCGAGAGCATCCGTGTCAATTCTGCCAAGAAGACAGAGGAGATGTTGTCCAATCAGATGCTGAGTGGGATTCCCGAAGTTGACCTTGGCATTGAGTATGTATAAAATATTCTCAAAATGAGCCTGTGTTGATAATATTTTTTAGCGATTGAGTAGTTTTAAACTATTAAATTATGCGCCAACCTTCTTGATAATTAACAGGTTTATTTTCTTTTAAAAATAAGTCAAAATTCTCTCAGCTTCTTAAGTGTGAATATGTTCTGGGTTATTTAATCCTCTCTGACAGTAAACTGAATGTCTTGTGTATAGACCAAACAACCAATTGATTAATCGAGAATATAATCAAAAGATTAATCGACAATGGTAATAGTCTTTCATTGGCAGCCCTATTGTCTTTTTTAAATCTGTGAGAAACGCATTCTGCATTGAGACTAGCTGACAGAAAAGGTGCAAGTGTGTTACTGACTGTGTTGGGGTAGTTACTCAAAAAAGGTAATGGATTACACATTAGTAGTACTTTACTAGATTACTCACTGCTGAAAGTAACTAGTGACACTACTGGTTACATTACTTTTGGATTACTGCATAACATCACCTGCGATGCACAATAACTGCCAAATAACAAGTTACACCTCATATATGCCCAGATCAACACAAATCCTTACCCTTACAGTTCAAAAACGTGTAATGGTAATTTGAACTGTGCAGTTAACAGACCAAAGCCACACAACAAACTTACTGTAGCTCACTTGCTGAACTATGGCTTTAAAGTAGATTATTCCCTCTTACTGGACCTGCTTATCAAAGAAGTGGTTATACCTGATGATTCTGTCAAATCTTTTGTCAGACAACCTGTTCCTCATCGGAGTCAGAACAAGACTGCCCAGGCTAAAAGAGCCTCACGACAGGTGTGCTAGAGGGTATCGATGTACTTTCATGAAACTAAAACAATACATCGGTCCCTCGAAAGATTTCTTTAGCAGCTCTGCCATTTCTGCATCCTCATGAATTGCCGCTCAAAAGTGAGGTCAGAAAAGTGTCATGCATAAAAAGGGACGTTTGATTTATTTTTCTCTCCTCCCGTTTCGCGGATAGTTCAAGAACCAGTACGCAAGTAACGCAACGATTTTGTTATTAGTAACTGTAATGTGATTACTGAAGTTATCAACGGTAATGCGTTACATTACTGCGTTACAGACAAAAGTAATTTGATTACAGTAACGCTTTACCCCCAACACTTGTTACTGATTGCCCGTTTCTGTGATTCTCTTTCCCCAGTGCAAAGATAAAGAACATTATCTTCACAGAGGAGGCAAAAGCCAAGCTTCTGGCAGAACAGAGGAACAAGAAAAAAGACAACGGCACATCATTTGTACCCACCAACATTGCTGTCAACTACGTCCAACACAACCGCTGTGAGTTCTGCCAGTCTGTGAACATTGGGGTTGAAATAGTGAGAGGATACCAGAAGGTAATGAGAGGTGAAACGGTTGGTTAAATATGTGTATTCGCCTTTTCTTTTCCCCAGTCTATCACGAGGATGTGAATGCACCACAGAGGCACCACAGACACAGAGAAGAGCCCAAAGCAAGGCCACTCCGTGTGGGAGACACTGAGAAACCAGGTCCAGAAAGTAAGACTCCACACAGCCACACACCGCTCCTTATTGTATAGCAGTTCGGTAACACTAGACTGTAGGAATCTGTTATAATCTGTTTGAGCACACCGTAACAGGGAAACGTGAAACTGTGCTTTTTCCTATGAACTGGTTTGTACAAATAAAACATATAATCTGATTCATACGTTCTTCTTGTTACTCCACAGCGTCGTCACCACCCAACTACCGCAAACGTCCAAACAACGAAAAGGCCACGGATGACTACCATTATGAGAAGTTCAAGAAGATGAATAGACGATATTGACCTGGGTGTTTATTTTTTATTTTTACAGAATACTTAAGTGGATGGCACCAAATTAAGTGAAGCCTCCAAATGAGTCATGAAAATAAGAGGACTCCCAAGATAGTGGTGTACTTTGTATAGATTGTAAATAGCTCCCAGTGGTATACTGTACATTCGCTTGTTATGTAAAAGGGGAATTCTATATCCCTGAAGAAATTGTGTGGCTCAGGACTGTCTGATAATCAAGGAATTGGTCCAATAAGACCAGAAGCTGTAAAGGCATAAAGGAATAACATGAGACGTGTTGGACTGAGTGGTACACCTGCTCTGGTTTGTGAGGGATGTTTTTTTTAAGCCCAATGCTATGTCTTGACTTTTTTGTTGTAGAGTTGTTTTTAGGACTCGATTAAAAGACAAACACAAAAACGTCCACAAGCGTTGAGTTGTTCTTTAATGTGACCAGTGCTCAGAGTAAGAAAAAATGAAACATTATAAAATCAGAAGGTACAAAATAAATGTGAGAACTAACATTGGATACATAAGCCAACATAAAAATATAAAATATGTACTGGTATTTAAATGCTGCAAATATGCACTAAAATTCATAAAGTTGTCTGCATTTATTTATACTTCCTTCAGTATTGTATATACAGTATGAGCCAGTCTATGCATTTTAATATTCATTTTGAAAAGTTACTAAAACTGAGGGGAATGTTACATCTGATACATTTGACAGTCCATCAGTCTTTTGATTCTGGTTCTTCAGGTATATTTTGTTTGGTACAGTTTCTTTATTTTACTTATTTCTAGTAATACCGCTATACAAAAGATCTCAAATACAAAAGAAATTGACCAGAACACATTACAGTGGCAGACATAATCAGACACTAGTTCACGATGTGTAACGGAAACTAAATGAGCCAAACCAAACTAAGCACAAGTGTTAAAATCAGTGTCCTCATGGTTTCTCTATAGAGGATGTCCCGTGTCCGTTAAGGTGGTGTTGGAGGTTTGTCTCCTGTGAAGAAGGCCCCTCCACGTCCTCTCGCTCTCCCTGGGTAGAGCTGCAGCTACTGCCAGGGGAGGCCCAGCTGTCTCGTCGGCGGTAGGCCTCACACAGTGGCAGATCAGTGCTGTCCCACTGACTGTAGCTTTGCGGAGCGGAAACCAGTAGGAGGCAAAGAATCAGCGCAGCACAGAAAGAGAGGAGCAGACGAGAGCGGCAGGTCAGAATAAGCACATTCATACACAGACGTGCACATGAGGGCACACATACAATGGAAGCATGGAGGTTATGTAGAAGCACTGGAAACTGGATCCATGCATAACACTGTTTAGTTTAGTTTTAGTCTACAGACTGTAATCAGAGGTGAGGCTTGTTAACTGTTTGTTTTTAAGTTCAGCAAAAAGGTGTGATTAGTTGCTGAAGGAGGAGAAAGCAGAGCGAGTGCTGCGAGGTAAAGGAAGGCCCACACCCAGCTTGCTCCAACAGGACCGATACTTACTCACAGACAAAACAAACAAGACAAACTACTACAGTGTTTTGTCTCTACTTTATTTCTTAATCATTCTGGATCTACTGGAACAGCTGGCACAAACTTGTACACATGTAAAACCACATCACGTGTGCTAGAAAGACATGTGCAGGGTTACAGCTTGAGTCACGTGTGTTCGTAAGGACGGAATCAGTTAAAAAATAACCTAATTGCTTTGACAGAAAACGTCTACTTGAGAAACTCTTGAGTAGCTTCTGATTTGACCTCGAATAAAGAACAAACAGTTGTCCCTGATTTGACAGTGTATACCAAACATTCATCCATAGTTCATCCTTAAAATCTACCATATTAGGTCATCACCATTACATTTATGAGTTAAACATTACACATAAATAATCTTAAATGAATTACATATTTTAAAATCTATATTATTTTATAGTTTTAGTTCTTTCAAAGTGTAATTCTTCTAAAGGGAGTTGACTTTCCTCACAAAGCTCTGTGTTGCTACACCCAGAAGCCCTTTCACAACCATCCATAGATAAAACACTAAGTGTTTTAGATGCATGGATTTTAATGAACTCTGATCATAACTTTGAATTAAAACATGTTAGTTGTAAATGAACCAGGAGGAAAGGCCTTGTTATTTACGTACCACTAAAACATGCTCCTGTGTGCCCTGACAGTATTTGTTAAAACCCTTCTCAAGCCTTTTGGGACGCTGCAGACCAGGAAACTGAAAGTCTGATCACCATTTAGAAATAAACCCAGCTGTCCTGAATTATATGAATCCTTGTCTCAACAAAAAATAACAACAATTCTGGATGTCAAACAGCATCGAACGGCCAAAAACACACGTTAAACTGTCGCAGTTCAAGAGCTGGAAACATTGATGCTTCCTATATTCAGTTGCATACCCCTTTAATGCTGAAGTCCTCTCTAAATTACGACACGTCATAGAGCAGGAAAACAAATAAAAATGTAAAAGTGACATGAGCTGTATCACAACAACCCTCTGCAATGATTTGTGTTGATGAATGGTGCCGTTTGGATGTGACGAAGAGATAATTCAACCCGAAAAAGTTTCATGTTTAGGTGTTGGGTCTCTGCAGAGAATGGTAAAAGTGAGACGACGGTACACTGTGCTGGTCATGGGACAACAGTGGGACAGTGGGATGGGGGCACGTATGAGCCTACTTGTACCTGGAGGAGTAATATTCTTCCTCTAGCTCATACAGGTCGATGGCGATCTCATCACGGAGCGAGGTGAGCTTCTTGTCACACTCGTCCTGCAGCAAGCGGAGCTGCTGGTTTTGGAGGGTGATGGCGTCGTTCACAGAGGGAAAGTCGTTCAGTATCAGGAACTGCTTCAGATCGGACACCAGCTTCATCAGGGACTCACCAGCTCGTACCTGATACAACAACACAGAAGAGGGGTTTGAAAATCAATCACTATGTTTTTTTCTGTATGTGGACTGCTAAATCCTACAGGTCCATAAACAGTCACAGTGATTGTGATGCATTTCACTTTATATTCAAGCTCTGAACCCCACAGTCCAACCAGTTGGTCAGCAAGTACAAATGAATACTGCGCAGTCACACTTAACTCAAACCAAGATAACTTCATTTTATAATCTAGTGGAGGACTGGGGTGAAATGTTGGCTGTGAGGAATCGTGGGTTCTTTCTTCTGAATGTATTTACTTCAGAAAGTAGCAAGACAGTAGAATCAGTGTATGCCTACACGTTTACTGTGATTTCTTTAAAGTAACGTGATAATGTAAAATTCCACTCAAGGCTAAGTTACGCTGGTTTGAGAGCAGCCTGTCCTCCTCCTCCTCCTCTCATCTTCCCCTCTCCTAACTAAATACACTTCAACACTTCAGCTCACACCTCAGTATGTTGTATGTTCTGGACAACTGTGCTTACACTTACAATGTTGGCTGCTCTTACGTGCATCTCATAATGGTCCTGCTCTGCTTGAGTTGCTCGGGCCACCTGTGTCTCATCCTCTATCTGGAGAAAGCAAACAGTGTGAGAATAATACATGCTTTATATACTCGTATGTTTGGAGGGCAAAGTTGAGAGAGAGAAAGAGAGAGGAAAGGACAGGAAATTATGCCAACAAGTCCTGTATTTAACTAGTTCCATCTTATCTAACCAGTAAGAAGCATTTACGTTATGCTGTAATATTACTTGACTTTCCTGCTTTCCCACAGAAGTAACAAACATAACACATGGGAAGGAGCCGCGAAAGTGGTAGAACAACTGAGAAACGACGAGAGGGCGGTCTATCTAACGTACCTTTGCTGTTTTGATAATTTCTGTGAAATTGTCCAGGATGGACCTGATGTCATCTTTCAGTCTCTTGTTGTAGTTCTGCAGCAGCGTCTCTTTGCTTTGAGGGAGCACTCTCTGAGTAGCCATCGTGCTCAGGAAAAGGACAACACAGGGTGCGTTACCTGTTCACACTGAGTTAAAAACACAGAAGTCTATTCAGCTGACGAGGTTTACCAAAGCAGAAGAATACGTTATGTCACGAGCGTGCAAATGAGTTAACTTAGCTAACAATGAAACCGCGCGTGATTTTCATAACAGAAAGGGAAGCCAAAAACGTGCACCTATGTGTTTTCATATCTGTACTACTGCATAAGTATATATTATTACAGATTCTCTAGTGATTATCACTTACTTTGTCTTACCGCATACTTCGTAAACAACGTTACTGTATAAACGATATCCACTAATGCCTTTGCGCTTCTTCTTCTTCTTCTTCTTCTTGTTTAATGGCGGATAACATCCGGTGTGTCTGGATATTACCGCCCTCCAGCGGAGTGTCCACACTGCAAAACGGTGAGGCACATAAAGGTCATGTTTATATTTAGTATGGTTTTATCCTTATCCTCTTTAATACCTTTTTGTGAGATATATAGAAATCATATATAGAAGTCATTTTTAGATATAGTTACAATTTTTATCTCATTGTAGCATAAACCAAAGCACAAACTACTTAAATAGTATGAAACGTATTATCAGTTTAAGTTCTCATTATGTAAGAAAATGCCCTGTTAATGCCTTATATTACAATATTTGATCATTATTCTTGATTGCATTAACATATAAGCAGCTTTGAAGTGTGTAGTCGGTTGAAATGAAGCTATTAACAACTGTATAAACATGCTTTATTATGTATGTAAAATCTAAATCTCATCGCAAAGCGTTGTAAATATCTTTCAGAAACACGTAGTGGAGTGAAAAGTAGTGGCAAAGTTAATGGAAAAGTTCCTCAAACTGTAAAATAGGGGAGACCAGGTATGGTTGTAACATGGGGAGAGTTGTAACACCAATTCCAGATAAGATAGGAGTTAAGTGATCATACCAGTATTTACCTACTACCTCCCCAATCAGGCATGGCGGTTCTCAAGTCTGGAAAGTAAATTTTCTGACCAAGACTATATTTTCTTTAGTATCTATACTATTGCAGATAAAATTGTTTGACTTATATTAGATTGAAATGTAGTTTATTAGGCAACATGTGATGCATTTTTTCCTTTCTAATTTCAAACCACTATCACATGTTGGTGTGTGTATCGGCACTCGATCTTTTGCATACTCCGCCGGTGGACAGGGCAGAAAAATGTATGGCCGGCTTGTGAGAAATTCCAGTGCGCAAGAGAAAGTCCCGGTACGCCAAAGAGTAAAATATAGAAATGCTTGTTCTGTGTACCGATGAGTACCGGCCCACTTCAAGCACTGACTGTGACTCTGATTAAGAATATACACACATTGACAAACACAGACACACACCTCTTTTAGTTAGACCTAATTAGGTACATTTTAGTAGTATTTATTGTTAAGTAAGTTTATTCTATAAGCTAGATACATTTACATACAAATACATGTGCGTGAGTCATCAGACATAATCTGTTACAGTGAGAGAGAAACGTTCTTTTATTTCACTGTAATTGTTTTTGAAGCATATCATATAGTGTGACATCCATTTTTGCTTCTTTTGTCTTTGTTAAACTTACCCCAGCGTGTGTTACAACTTACCCCGGTAGTGGGGTAGGTTGTAACCAGGGAACACATTGCATTTGACATCAACTCACGAGGTCTGTGATATTCTTGTAGAGGATTAAATTGGTGCCATTTGTAGTGAACAAATGTGGGTACTTTTTATAAAAGTTTGAGAACTCTAGCTACAAAATTCAGTGAGTTATAGTTGCTGAAGCAAAAAGTGTTACAACCATACCCGGTCTCCCCTACAGTACTTCCACAACAATATTTCAGTGATGCTAAATAACTGCAAAATGGTGCAAAATTAGATTTTAATTTATTTAATAGTTTTTTTTATGACTTACAACAGAGTTTTCAAAGGCAGAGTGTGCAGCATAAGTATTTCGAGTGCTTTTTTTGTCCAACATCATCAGTCCTCCAAAGAATTTCTATACAACACTGGTGGAAATACATTTTACAGCTGTGTTACAATCAAAACACATTCTTAGGGAATCTTGACTCTGTGTCAGTGACTAAGTGCAACCTTCATTTATACAAGTTGGGTGAGAAAAGTGAGCATTTATTTATTTTATATATATATATATATATATATATATATATATATATATATATATATATATATATATATATATATATAAAAAACAAGAACAGAAAGATGAGGATTTTACATTGCAACAGAGGAATACATGAATTAAACTTTGGATTGCAACAGGTTGGATCCCCATTCTTAAAAGTGCCATGGTGGGAACCACAAAGTGTTCCATGACAAGCACGACGACAATAAAATATTCCCTAATGGCGATGGAAATAAAAGGAATGTCATCAGTCAGTCAACATTCAAGATCTCACTTTCATGATAGTACGATTACAATCCCTGACTGGAACTGCGAAGCATAAGTGTTGTAGACATTTGTGTGACTGCAGGAAGGCATTATTTTAAAAGTTGCAGTTAAGTTTCACTTTAGTTATTTGTAAGTGTGAGTCACAGTTAGTACACATTTGGAGTTCATAGAGATGTCTACGATATAGGTGCATTACAGAGCTGAATGAACATCTTGATGCATCAGAGTGCAGACACCAAAAGGAAAATTGTACATGATTGTACACAAGTATTTGGTGGTTAATGTAAGTGCACCAAAATGATGTTAATGCAGCAGTTTCTTTTTAGGAGGGTACAAAAGGCAAAAGTGATTTATGCTGTTTGATGTGGTACTGTAGCAGAGGACTACAGCGAGAGTGTAAGGCTTCTGAGATATCTTGTGAAGTATGGAGAAACAGAAAAGTGTCTCTTCTACATTTATATAACATAGGAACTATTATAATGTATTTTCTATGCCTAACATTTATATATGGTTCGTACGTTGCGTTGGAACAAACACTGATATTCTATTTTCATCAGACAGGACAGTGGCCACAAATATAATACACATGGCAAAAATGCAAACATTTTCAGAACCAAACAGTTACATTTCATATCAACAAATGTTATCTTTGAAAAGTCAATGCATCATTATCCAGCATCAGCTTCAAAACAAACTGTCAAGCATAAAGGACCCAAAACTTTTGACTTTGATTATGTAACTGTAAGGCCGTTTACAAATTTTGGATACAGATAAATTCCTCTGAAACATCTCGTCACAAAAATCACGCAAAAGTGTTGAGAGATTGAGGATGTGTTTCACTTGCTCCTTGTTCTATACAGTGTTTTTTCCTCTTCCACGCTTCTGTGAAGTTATGATCTTGTGATTCAAGCTGAATCCGCCCTTTTTGAGAACTAATACAATGGAGGGATGAGGCGTTATCAGATCATATTTTCACAGCAAAGCTCAAATATACAGAAAACTAAACTGCCACAGCTGCAGACCACCTACAAACTCCCTTAGCGTGTGGTATTGTAGTGCTGACACAAAAAGAAACTGAGGTAGGCAAGAAAACAATCAAATGCTTGACCACCATATTGTCTTTGTGTAGATGTACGTACCAAAAAGATTAACGACGATTCAAAAGGATGTGACAATAAAAAGCGACTAGCAGTAGGAGAATGTTGTCAGTGTTCTTACTCTAATGGATTCATTCAAGTGTAAAGATGATGCGCTATCAGAACTAATTGGAGCCAGTTAAGAATGAGATCCATGCAGGCCTGCAGTCCAGCTGCGGCGCTGGTGACAGCATGCAGTATGCCTGTTATAGTTTGCATAATTTAGTGTGCGTTCAGGGCTTTTCTTGCGGTGCCTTGAGGTGAAAGGGTGCAGAGACGAAAGGGTCTACAGCGCTCACTTCTGGGGTCCAGGAGTGAAGAGGTCCAACAGGGACTGATGCCACAGAGGCTTGCTTGGTCACATTAGACACTACTCTGTGAGATGCTACTGGCTGCTGGGGCACGGGTCCCTCAAAGTGTCGGGAATATTTGGCCAGAGCTTGGGGACGGAACGGTTGTTGGGCAACTTGACCCAACGCACCTTGGTCGGAGGTTACAGCATGAACCCCAGCTGCGTGAGGAAATGAGGTCTTGGGCTGAGCTCCTGCAGCCTCCTTCCTTTTTCCAAAGGGAGCCTGAGAGAATACATCGAGCTGCTGCTGAGCTGAAAGGAGAGCATGCGGAAATGGAGCATTTGCAAACACGTCGCCCACGTCTTCTTGCCCAATCCGAAAAGGGGCTTTTGCGAAAACATCCACAGCAACTTCTGCCCCCTTCGCTGGCTCATGTACATGCTGATGTACATACTGGGAATGATTGTGAGCAAAGGTGCTTGGAGTAAGTTGATGGAAGGTAGTAGATGGTTGTGTTGGTGCTGCGCTGGAGTGTGGTGATGAGTGGAGGGCTAACTGAGGTCCTTGTTCTTCTTCATCCTCAGAGTCCAGCAGCAGAGGTCTGGAGCCGCTGCAGTCATGGGCATCTACATGACTCTCAATGGCTCCCTCATCCTGCTGCTCTACCGTATGAGCTTCCTTTTCCTCATCTTCGTCGCTGGAGTGCACACACCCCTCGTTTGTTTGAGGATCTCCCATTGGAGGTTCAGACTCTTGTCCCTCAGCAAGCACAGAGTAGCCATTACTCTCCCCTTGCATATCTGTGTTAGAGAGCAGAGATAGAGGAAACCATATCAGAGGCAAACAAAAACATTTGACAGTATAAATATTGTAACATGAAACTTTACCATCTGAGGTCCAGGCGCCCATTTATCTACCAGACCATCAAACCTCAGTCACAAACATGACATACTATATGATCGATGGATCATCTGTAACCACTGAAGAATCAACGATAACGACCCAACAGTGAGAAACCAGCACAAGACTTACAACAATACAGACACATTCTACTCTGAACAAGTCACATAATACAGACAGATGACTAGCCAGCTCTACCGTTACAACATCAAATAACCTTGTTTCCACAAATTAGTTTCAGCAGAGCTGCAGCATCCTCAACCTCCAAAAACAGTGCCTCGTGTTAGGGGAAACAGTCACAGCAGTTATGCTTTTAGTAAGAATTAATTGTGTAGAGGGAGCTCAGAGGGAGTCAGTAGGTCTGTGGAAACAAGGACAAAGAGCCTTCACAGAAAAATTAGAGGTAATTAGGTATAGACAGGTTTGCACAGATGAGCACAGACAGATCAGTCTTACCTCAGCAGAGTAGACAGCAGCTGTTAACTGGCAGTTCTTGGGGAGATGTTAGTTGCAGCCATTAGAGGAAAACAGCAGTGTTTGTTTTGTTTTACATCTTGGATAATGTCCTTCATCACGTATCTGTTTTAAACTATCCACAGCCCATTTCACATTGTTGCACTCCAGAGTTAATCAAACTGAACAATGGCCTACAGATCATCAGAGACTGCTCACGTAATCATGTGAAACAACAGCTATCAATTCCTCATTATACAGTTTAGTCTATTTGTGGTACAAGCCCTTTATCAAGGTCCCTGGCCTGGAATCACACCAGCAGTGAACAGTAACATGATTTTAAAACACATGTCTACCAACATCCAGGAACTACTGAGACATAACAGGGTGAGACAAAAGGAATAGACAGGGAAACCCAGAAAACACTGGAATAGTCCTTTAAAGCTTGTAAGGACAACTGTACAGACAGACAAGTGTCTGCTGATGCTTGCACCAAGTGGTGCAAACGTATTTCTATAGTGTAAGGCAATCGCTAAATAATACTGAAATTTGAGCAGATACCATCAAGTCACATCAGAGTGTCTGTAATCTAGAAGGAAAAAACTCTGCTAATTAAAACAATGAAAACGGAAGAGCCAATCTTCAGACTGTCAATAAAGTCAGATGGCTCTTTTGCCCTTCCGAGTAAAAATCAAATAATATGACCCATTCACATTAATGACTTTTATTCAGTGTCTCTCTTTTGAACCTTAATTCATAAAAATAGAAGTACACACTCCACAATAGTCCTGCTTTGACATATGGACATTTGCCGAATCATGTCAAACATTTTGATGTAATCAAAGTCATTTTTATACTTGCCACCATATCAACCCAACAACAAGTACACTGGTTTCACATGGCAACACAGGTAAAACTCTACGGCCAAGGCTATAACTCTACAGGATACAGCACTGTAGTGTCTGATAAGAACATGAAGCATTATTGTAGGATTGCATAGATTAGCCACAAAAATGCAAATGACTTAACTGAACTATGAGATGTAAAGAAAAAAGTATATTTTTATAACCATGCTAATTCTTACAGTATTGTTGATGTTTATGACCTTTACAATATGTCATAGTGGAGGGAGGAGGAGAAGAAGTGTACCGTTTATTGTTTTCTATATACATATCTAAGGTGACATTTATAAAAAGAGACTAATGCCTATACGCAATCCACCTTCCTTGGTTAGAGAAAAGCCTGAATGAAAGGTAATACTTGGTGGGATTTTGAGATCAAAGATGTAATGAAAAGTCAGTTGTGTTTTTCAAGTCACAAAAGCCTTTCTTATGATCATCAGCCTAATGAAATAACAGCTATCATAGGTGAGAGGTGCTACAGAGATATCAGGAAATAAATTCCGTCATTAGCTCTGTTTTGCTGCCTGTTAAATACAAATCTATCTCAGTCAACTTACAAGTACCAGTATTATGTAAAGAACCGCGGTTGAGAAAAAAAAAATACTACCAAATCAGGTAAGTCATAAGCACTTTGTTTCATTAATTGATGACGACGCCTAAAAACAAAAGCACGAGCTGAATGCTTGACGTGAATGGAGAGAAAAGACAGAGGGACTTTGGACAGAGGAAAGGGTGAACATCTTTGCACTCTTAAATACAGCTTCATATGTAAATATTTTTTAAATCTATATATCATTATACATTTTACATATTTCATAATGGTTGCAGTTTATACATTCATTCTAAAGCATTATCAATAAATTGCCACATGTAATCATACCATGATAGATGACATGCCTTAAAATATTACACACACACACACACACACGTACACACACAACAAAATCTACTTTTACCAGTGCTAATGAGAAAATAAATGTATAGTGATTTTATGTACATATAAAGGAGTTTTCTCTCCATTTCTCCGGATGCTGAGATGAAGTCAACATTGGCCAAGTGACCTCTACATATCTGGTAAGAAAAGGTTGGCTAGATAAGACAGGGAGTACGTCAATGGGAGAGGGAGGTTTTCATTTAAAGCTTATTTGTTAGCACAAAACCTACACAAAATAACACAATGAAATCTACATTGTACCTCCCTCTCTATAACAGTGGTATGCTGCTAAAAATCTGCTCATCTTCACTGACCCTGAAAGCAGACAGACACACGCCAAACACAGCAAAATAATAAAGACTGTCCTTTTAGCTTTGGCATGGCTACAGGTCAAATTATTTGATTCCCTTTCGTTTCCGCTGTGCTTATCTTGACAATGAGTCAAATACATGACCCTACACAGAAACACATGTAATTATAAAATGCACACATAATATTAATGGTCTTATAAAGTGTTGTAGATAATGCTGCCAGTGAAAGCATCCTGCCATGGTAATGGAGCTGAATTAATCACCCATGTTAACACTGACTTCACCAGATTCAGGATTTAGACATCACCACAAGCGAATGATTTACAGGTGTAGTTTTAGGAGGAATAACACCCTGCGTGGTGACAATATACAGTTATGCTGAAGCTACGGCTTTTCCTACATTACATCCTACTACATTAGCTTAGATAAATAGCTGTAAAAACATGGCCACTGGTCTATATGGGAACAGAGCACAGAATTAAATTGATTTGACTTCCTAAGGTGGCGCAGACTGTCTCCTTTCCCAGTACAGTAAACCACAACAGTTTAAGGACTCTGTAAAAACTGCCCAAAGCTGAAGTTTTCTTCTTTACAAACTGGTTCAATCAGTGCAAACAGCTCTCAGGGGTTTCCTCCAGGGTGCGTCTTTGTTTGGTCAATAGTTTAGTTCAAAGTGTTCACAGGAGACATTATCCTGGAGGTCAAAAGCATTTTGACTCCTCACACTTTAGTCAGACCCCTGACACAAATGAGCATGCCTGAAGGTGGCGTGTTTAAATAAAGCTTCAACCCTGAACAAGTACACAGAGTGAACACGATGCAGCTGTGATCAAGCAGAAACGTGCGTACGATGGAAGGTGACCACCATGGCAGTGCACTCAATGAGGGATATTAATGCAAGTATGAGGAAAGCATGAGGAAGACCATGACGTAGCCGGGACAGAAGCAGACGATATGCTCAGCCATTAATGAAAAGGTTTTTACCAGCGTGGGAATGTCAACGGCCAGCAGATTTATATGAAACCAGCTTATCAGGCAACTAGAGATGGAGTTGAGGCCAAGGAGGCACATAAAAAGAAAGATTCCACTGCACCAATCTATGCTGGCTCCTCCATTTAACTTCAAAAAGGTGCTACATTAAGTGCCTCTGCTTCCCCATCTCTATCCCCCCACCCTCCCTTCCCTTTGTTAGGATTGCACACTGCCCCTTCGACCTCTCCCACCCCCTCTAGAGGTCGATGAGCTGATCCACCAGCAGAAGGGAGCGGGCCAAGTTGGGGATGTTGGACTCTGAACTGCCACTGTTGCTGCGCGAGTGACCACCTGAAACGTGGCAGAAAGAGAGAGAGACAGAGAAAGAGATGGACATGGAAGAGCCGAGGGAGATCGTGAAAAAAAAAAACAGGCAAAAAAGAATAAGTAACAGCAACAGAGATTGTATGGAGAAATTAAGAGCGAGAATTTGATGGAGATTAAGGGAAAATGATGGTACAGCAGAGAGATGCATGAACGGGGGGCAGAAAGAGAAAGAGAAACAGGCAGAGAGTGAGCTGGGATAATCTTTATACAGCTGCATCATTACAGGGGAAGAGTAAGGGAATGTAACTTTAACATGAGGAGATTTTCAAGATAAACTACAAAGAGCCAAACACCTGCAAGGCGAAGATAACTGGCTGTGTAACATTAGAAACAAAAGAGGGAAAGATGTCTAATGTGAGAGCTTGATGGGATAAAAAGCCTTAATGTGACAAGCACACCCATACAAAACTACTCACATCAGTAGTCACAGGAAACAGCTGGTAACTGAATTAGGGGCTAAGTCATTCATCTTTTTGGCTCATATTCTGGGCTTCAGCAGGTGTGAGTGCTCATCTCGGGATTCTGTTAACCTTACCTTGATTTGAGTTTTTGGAGATGAGCACAGGAATAGGGTCAAACTCGTCGTCATTGCCCTTCTCCCCACACGACATGAGGAAAGCAGAGTCTGCGGTGAAGGAAGAGGAAGTGAAGGAATGATGGAGGGGGGGAAAAAGTTAACTCAGCGAAAGAAAAGAGCAAAAAGAAAGGAGGATGCAAGTAGATTAAAAATAGATGGAGTCAGGGCAGTCACAGTATTTAAAAGCCATGCATTTTAGGTGGCTTTTGGCTCATCTACAAATGAGTCAAGGGTCTGTGAAGCGGTCATTCAGTGCATCTAATTCAATTTCTATATCACGTGTCAATTTGTTTTCTGTTTGAACTGGCCCTCCTGTTTTTGGAAGGATCTGTAGTCTGTGATGGTTTCATGGGCCGAGACACCCAGCAGACATGAAGCCAGCTGAGGGGTGCTGCAAAGGGGGAGGTCTTACCAGAAGCAGTCTGGCCAGGCGGCAGCTCCTCCAGACAGGATCCAGAGCCGGAGCCCGGAGGAGCAGAGGAGCAGGTGGAGGAGGAAGAGGAAGGGAGACCAGAAACAGACTGGCTTCCATGAGGAGAAGTATGAGATAACAGATCGCAACCCAGCAGAGAGTCCTCTCCAGTGAGAGAGTCTGAGACAAGATGAAGCAAAGCCAGAGGGACAAGGGGTTACAGATTGTTAGCTTAAGGAGCTGAGGAAAATGCATTTGGTTAATAAGACAGTTCACTGTTTTATCTCTGGAAGCATACAATCATCAGCTTCAAAAGGAAACTCTTGGTGGAAATTGCATTTAAAACGTACACCAAAGTTAGGGACAGGAGCTACAATACCAAAACCTACACGTTTCATAATATTACAGAACGATGTAGACTGTGGGTGGATTTTAGGCAAAATAAGCATCGATGATGAAAAATGTGTTACGTTTTCTCATTGAATAGGCTGCTTCACACCCTAGAATACCTCAGGGTCATGGTACACCTCACTGCTCTACACTACAGCAACTGTTCCAGTTACTAAAGTTAGCTGCCAGAAAGAGCAACAGGCCGAAATGATGTAGCTGTTTTGTCAGTGATAAATCTGTTTGATGAATGCAGTTGTAAAAATCCCTCAAAAAAATAAAATAAATAAATAACTCCGGTCAAGATAATATCAAAAGGTGACAACGGGATCATGACCACAGCTAGAAACAATTATTCCTTGTTGAAAGAGCTGCAAAGAACGAGGGTAAGATTTCCTATTCTGTGGTCCAGGATGCTAACCTGGCATGCTGGCAGGGATGAGCTCTGGCTGGCCTGAATGTCGCTGGGCCTGGGGGGCTTCCAAACCAGGAATCAGTGAATCCACACACACATCTGCCTTCGCTACATGGAGAAGAGCAAGTGGGAAAAGGGGTAATACAAAGAGATCAGTATTAGCAAAAATTGCCTTAGTAGGGATAACATTGATGAAGACCTTCTTTACTCTTTCCCCCAGTGGGCCTTTCTGACTTCATGATGATGTGAGTGAAAGAGGAGAAGGAAGGCAAGGAAGACACATGCAGAGCAGACGGGGAATTTTAGGGCAAGGCAGGGGACAAAAACAGAGCTAGTACCATTGGTGGAGCTCTCTGCAGAACTACTGAAGGGGTCAGCCAGGGTTAAGAGGTCGGGGAGCAGCAGAGAATTTTCAGGGGACTTCAGTCCCTCAATCAGCTTCTCTGTGAGCAAGCCAGGGAGTGACGATGGAGAGAGGTAATGGACAGATGGGCAAGAGAGAAAAACAGGCGATGAGGGAGGATTTCGCATACAAATCCAAATAAGGAACAGAAAAATTGAAGTGAGAGGAAAATATTAAATCCGGACAAAATAAACAAGCATAATTACAGTTTGGTAAAATTTATAATATGGTAGATATCAAGTTGCTGAAATTTGTTTTGGGACAAAATATTTTTAGGAAAACACATGAAAAGATGATTACTGCACTGTGCGAACATTTCAAGGTAATTTTACATAAAAATGACACCAACATCAGGTGACTTGCAACGTCAATGAAACCATAATAAAATCCTAAAATTATTGTATGATTTGTTAGTTTCTTTAGTTCTGCCCACCACAACCACACACTCCAAAACCAGTAAGATGAGTAATACATCACATTTAAAAGGACAAAACTCAGCATTATCCTTTACCAGTAGAATTATATTAAATAGTTACTGCAGAAAACATTGAGAATTATTCAAGCTCTTGAAGTACAAACTACAACACCAAACATTTTACCATATAAAACGAGCCACAGCAATCACTGAGTTTCTTCACAGTGCTCATAGATTGCCCCAATGTCACTGTCCACATGTCAACCCTCTTACAATGCAGACAAATCTTTGTTAAGTTGGCTTTACCAGAAGCTTTACCATTTAAAACGTTATTTTCTTTCAATGATGCACCTTTATTATTATAAAAAAGTACTGGTTTGATTAAGCTAAAATACAGTCCATGCATGAAACAATAAACTACTAACTCTTCACTGCAGCTCATACTTACTGGAAACTGTTATGGGGCAAAATGGGGTCTTAGACAAGGAATGTGTTGGCTAGAAAATGGCACAGCAGATGTGACCTTTTGCCTCCTTCACTATAGGAGAGAGGCCAAAGCTGATGAGAAGCTTTTTATAAATCCCAAAAAGCTCATTTTTACAGTAAAGTCAATACAGAACATATGTAATATTAAAAATGATACACAGTACGCTGTAACAAGGATGCTGCTCAGCGGGGGCTCTCTGCTCTATCAGCAGAAGTCTGACTGTGTTTGCTTGTGTGCATCCTATTTGACTGAGCGATTCAGAGAGACTGAAAGAGACAGCTTAGGGTGGGTGGAGAAGATTAACCACACCCTGATTATGTAATAGCCTCAACATTTTTATCCTTTCATTCCAGGCAACTACACAAAGGAGGTTGCACAGCTAAGCGTGCACTTCCAAAAGAGCTAAAGGCTAAACTGAGGTAAACATAAAGGGCTGGGTCATCACTTTAACAAGGCAACATGCTTAACTTTCTCTTGTTCTTAGTGCCACTAGTAAGCAGGCTCCTCCAGCAGTAAGGCAATCCAATTAACAAAAGGAGAATTTGTCCTTCGCGTTGCCAGGCAACAGCGAAAGCACAGATCTGCAAATGAGATGCGATCTAGCTGTAGCTATGGTCTCTATTCATGGAAGCTGACAAGGACCCACTGTGAGGCTGCCTGCTATGTCAACAAGATAAGACGTGTACAAATCCAAACCACAAAACTAGCACTCATAAACTAACACCTGGGACGTGTGATATCCAGGAAACTACTTCAGTAAATAAAAAAAAGTGACTCATAAGCTCTTTAAATCTATTTGTTCAAGAACCTAAGGTCCGACAGAATCAAAGACACATCTCGTTCTATGTCATGTTGTGACAAGAAAATTACCTGTGGTGTCAGAGAGGGAGACGGTATTAAAAGGGTCTTGGGCAGTCAACAACGCTGAACCTGCACTCATGACGTCTGCAGATCTTTCATCTTAACATTGCACAGTAAATAAAGATGGAAGACAACAAATGAAGGAACATGACAGCAGGAATAACAGAATAAGAGAGTAGGTGAGAGTTGGGGATAGAGAAGACATAAGCTAACTTTTATGACAACTCTAGACATTGGTCAAGACAGCAACACATACAGTTCCAGCTAAACGGTTGAATTTCACCTCTCTCAATATGGAATTGTTGCATGTAGATATTAAGAGAAATGTCCATTTGATGGCTGATATATTGCTCAAAGAGAAGCATCCTGGGATATAATGTATGCAAAGCAATGAGACATCATACTGAGAAGAATTAGGCAAGGCCTTACCTGGGAAAGCATTGAGCCCTGGAATGAGATTTTCACTGGAGCCTGTGACCTTCTCTCCTGGTGCAGCAGCTGCGCAGATACAATCATTTTTAGATCCCACAACTATTTACCAATGCTGCACATGTAAGTATGCTGTGAGCAAGTTGAACTTACTATCAGATAGCTTTGCAAAGTCTTTGTTAAGCAGCTCCTCTGCTGTTAGCTTGGAGAAGTTATCATCCCCAAAGGGGTTCCAGCTGGGCTGAGTGTTGGGTGCAGTAAGGGCAGCTTGGGCATCACCATCACCTGGATGATACACACTTTGCTGGGACGAGCAGGGGGAGCCAGAAGGAGTGGTGCTAGCCGATCTGCAGTACACAGAGGTGTAAACATAAACAAGGGTGGTGCACAGTGAAATGCGATCATGGGTATTAAAGCTGTGGGCACTGGTCTACTGATGTATGCAAATAAGAGTGAGTGAACAGAGTTATTTAAAGACTGAATCGACTGATTCTTCTTAAGTTGGATTCTCTGGGTTGTAAAAGGGTCTTTTATATGAATGGACTGTCTATTGCCCTTCTCAGCTCACTCAGTGTCATGAAAGCACAGTCCATCCTCAGATCACTGAAGGGAGTCAATTCTGCTCACTTGGATTTGTTGAGGCTGGCCTCAGCTGCGGCTGCCTGGAGTAGCAGGGTGGACTTGCTGACTGGGACCCCAAACACGGCACTGTGAGTGACATCGCTCAGGATGCGTCTGTGGCCACTCTTAGTGGGCATCTTTGGCGACGAGGGGGGTGTCAATGACCCGACTTTGTGAATCCCTCGGCCAGATGACTTTAGGGAACAGGAAAAGACACAGAGGAGGAAATATAAGGGAAAATGTCCTTCAAGCCAACAGAGAATTTCTGTTTAGTGCATAAAGAGAAATAAAGAAATTAGAAAAAAAACCAAGCATGCAAGATCCACCGGAAAAGAAAATCTGAAATAGAAGACTGATTATAAATTCCTTGAAACAACAAAAGAGAAAACTGTTATAGAAAAGGGAAGAAATGACACCTCATTAATCAAGGGTTAACTGAAACAAAATAGGTAGGGTGATAGTTGAAAGAAGCAGTTCAGAATGCAACACTAAATGATTTGGTTATCACATGATTTACACAGTATCTAACTGCAGCAATGTATTTCCAAAAGACGCATTTTAGCTATCACAGTGTCACATTCAAGATTATTATTAAGTGAGACCATTCCTGCCTTCCCTTTGCCCCAGTAGTGGAAAAGTAAAAAAAATCAGATGTGATTGGTTAGAGACGAGCTAGTAATCAACTCCCTTTCTCAGAACAGCAGCAGACAGCAGCAGGAGTAGGATGTTACCAAAACCTCTGGGTCAGCTGCAGGACCAATGACTGCAGACTCAGGGATGGGGGTCAGATGAGAAGCTGCTGTTTCATGTACTGGGGCTACATGATGCTGCTGCTGGTGTTGCAGTTGCAGGGTAACAACTGGAGGAACAGGCTTAGCTTTGGACTGCGGCAGGGAAGACACCTGAGACGCTGTTTGCTGTTGTTGCTGCTGCTGCTGCTGCTGGTGGTGGAAGCTCTGTACCAGTAGATGCTACATAGGAATACCACACAGCCAAGCATGAGGAAAGCCCTGTTGTCATGATTTATAGCTCTCTGACAAGTGTAGCAGCCTTTTATAGCATATTTTTCAGAGTTCATGATCTACCTTTTTGACAGTGCACAATGGAAAACAAGAGAAAATATAGGAAAGATGTGGTGAAACAGACACAATTTAGGTTATAATAAAAGTATTTTGTCCCTTAAACAGGCCAGCTCAGGCTAAAAACAGTAACAGAGGGAATAATCAGCAGTTTCACAGTCTGTTCATGGATGTTTAAATTCAAATTAAAGCATTATATTATATCACAGTAGTTGATTTTACAGTCTGGACCACAAGATGAACAGACAAACAACATAGCAGTGTTTGTATGTTTAAGATTATGGCTCATTACCAGCTCAGTACAGCAATGTGTGTGTGGTATCACATTGTGTTTGATACTGCATGAATAGTGATGTTGTCAACTGAAGCAGGACTAGCTGAACAAACAGATAATCCAAACTGTGTCTGTGGTCACTCACAGCTAATCAAAATAAATCGCCTGCAAGTGTTGCCAAGTACGCTCTGTTTTGCAAATGGTCCATTACACAAGTCAACATATAGGTCCTTTCAACCGTGAAGACTTCTCTAGGACCAGGAAGGACGTCTATACACCACTGTCAACATCAGTCAGCATCCATGAGTGAGATTTACTAAATGTTTTCTTGTTGTTCTGCCAGGATGCCTACCTGCTGGTTACTCTGTGGGCTTAAGAAGGCTGTGGCTTGCTGCTGCTTCATGAGGAGCTGCTGATGCTGTGGTGTAGCCTGTGGCTGCATGTTGGGTGTCTGAGCTGACTGTGGTGTAGCCTGTGCTGCAAGAGCCTGTTGGACAGGTTGGACAGCAGCTGCAGCTGTAGCTGGGACACTGATACCAACACCTGGAGGAAGGAGAATGCAAAAAACAGACATTTTATGGTGACCTAAAGAATGCCATCACAGATTCTTGTTTTCATCAAACTGTCAAGCAGTTGAAAGTTATTAAATGCAGTATATATGTGTTTGTGTGCAAGTATTTGTGTAATTGTATGCCTCCTTTAATGTCAAAAGGACCCTCAAATTAGAAAAATGAAAAGAGTATTTCAATAACTGGAATTATTTGGGCAAGCTAATGCTTTCGGCCCAATCTCCACTTCCCTCTGAGACAGAAACAAGGAAATACTACACTATATTCTAAAGTAACAATTCCTGCATTTATTTACTAGAAATAATTTAGTATAGCTAAATGAATAAATAAATATATTTGTTATTTTCTCTATTAGTGTTTTTTTCCTTTTTTTTTCTTCAAGACATTCATTTAATCCCCAAACACGACCCAGCAAATTACTGAGTTACAAGTGCAAAATAAAACAAACGAGTACACTGCTGTAATTAATGTGACACCACCATCTATTCTGTCTTTGGGCTGCAAATGGATTGCATTGTTAAAGTATGGATGTCACAGGACTCATAAAAAGACAATTAAAAGCCTTTTAACAACGGGCTAATCGACCCATTAGGAATACAAGCCCTAGACAAGGTTTAGAGTCAAATTCTTGAGCAGTTCACTATCATGAATCAATACAAGATGTCACTTTGAATAAAGCAATACAAGGACAACTTCCACGATAAGCAAAGTCCCTTATTACCCAAGTAAGACTGGTCTTAACTCTTACACACAGAAGTATCAAAGAGCTACTTATACCTATGGCCTGGGGTGCTCCTGCGGACACATTGGGTCTCTTTCGTGGAGTGAGAGCTGGCTGAATGGGGAGAATGCCTGATATCGGCTGGGGCTGAGCCTGGCCAGCTTTGGGCCGTTGTCGAGGTGCAATTGAGGTTTCTGTGGTAGGAATGGGGTCTGTGAGCCTGAAGGAAAGAAAAGAGAAAACTGATGGTAATGTAGATGTTTCTTACAATGCTAACACTCAAATGCTTTGCTTTTCACTCACCTGGCTTTGGTTTGACTCTTTTTGGCCACTGCTTCACTGGCTCTGATAGGCTCAGGAAGTTTTGCAGGAATAGGTGAATTCTACAACATTAAGGGGATTTGCAATTTTCATTTGAGTTTACATTTCAGTGAAGAAAACATTGACTCCAGTATCAATTTGCAGCTTCCATGAATGCATCTTCATTACCTAATGTCATAATACTTAAAGGCGTGAAAGGTGTGAGGTCAGAAATTTGGACCAAGTGCTGAGCTAACTTGTAAATGTATCTGACAAGGGAAAGATGTATGAAGGGCAGCCAACTGGCAGCCAACAAAAGCTAGAAGGATAGCTTTTCTCCCATATCACTGTCCTAGATTACTTTGCTAAGAAAGCAACAAGAGAACTGAAACCACTGTACATCAGATACATATAAATATATCACAAATCCTGCATTTTCCCATCTCAAATTCCTGCCATTCTTCTTTCCATGGTGACTTACATTTACATTTGGGACTGGACACTCTCGTCGAGCCAGTTTAAAGGCAAAGTAGGATATTTGGTAGATGTCTGGTCTTATATCTGGGTCAGGTTCCAGCATGTATCCTGGGAAATAAACAAACAAAGGATGTTAAGTTTGCTACAGAAATATGACAATTCACATTCAAACTTACAGTAACTGCACATATGCAGGATGTGCATGCTGTATGTAGGTCAGTGTATATATTCTGGGGAACAGGGTTACTCACTGATGAGACAGTGCATGTCCTGGGAGTAGCGAGAGTTGTCTGGGATAGTAAAAGTTCCATCACAGATAGCCACTTGGCTCTCCCCAAAAGGAAGTGTGAAGTAGCACAGCTTATAGAGTAGACAGCCCATGGCCTGTACAGGCAAGAGAATCAGTACACTTCATGTAAATGTCTCTGTCATGTGATCATACAGGCATCATTATGGTAATGAACACAGTCCCTCTCACCCAAATGTCAGCCTTTGTCGTGATCATCTTTCCACCATAGAGGTTGACCATCTCTGGAGCGCGGTACGACAGAGTAGTGTATCTGGTAAGATTTGAGAGCAGACCATTGAGCTTCAGATTTTTAATAAGAGAAAGGAGAGAAGGTATGAAGAGCTCAGAAAACTCACTTTTTAATTTCCTCCTCCACGACTGGCACCCCTTCTGTCTGAGGGTTTTGGAAGCGATTAGTGGCACTTCCAAAATCACAGAGCACATAGTGTCCACGGTCGTGCAGAAGAATATTTTCCACCTACATGAGGAAGACAAGATGAGTCCTGTCAGAACTGAGAGTATATGAGATAAACAACACTGTCACAATCAATTACTTGCAAATAATTGGCGCGGCCAGCAATTAGCTAGGCTAATGCAATGGGAAGTTCATGCATAATGGGAAATGAATTAAGACTTGCCTTGAGATCTCGATGGATGATTGGACTCTTGCACTGATGGAGGCGAGCGAGCGCCTCGCATGTATCACAAAAGATCTGTAACACCTCGGCTTCAGTGAAGCCCGTCTGTAACCGCTGGTTCATTAGGTTAACCACCTGCCCGCCTGCATAAAACAAACAGTTCAACTAAAAGTCTATGAAATGTCAGCTGATGCCAAGGTAACACTGTATCTATCGAATGGTTATGGGATGTAACTTTATGAATGGTGTTTTATTTTTGGTCAGTTTGAATCTGTGAGAAATACTTGCTTTTTAAAATCAATGGTCATAACAATTACCTATACCTTATTATAAACACAAAGCACTGCATTGCCATTGCTGCTTATACACATAATGTATTGAAATGTAAAATACATTTTCTAAAGTGGTATGTCTATTTAAAATAAAGTTTACACAAAATAGCTGTTCTCTGTAAACTATATTCTACAGTGGCATCAACAGCTACAGCTTTCTATAAATAACACCACTCAGTTATACAGTATATCGACTGAAACTGAAGTTACATTGACCGTGAAAGCTATCAGTTGAATATTTGCCTTCGAACAGCTGTGAGGAGCAGAGGGTAATGGAGCTTTGAATTCAACAGGAACAGAAAGGGAATGGGGGCTGGGCCCATTTACCTCGACAGAAGTCCATTAAGATTAGGACTTCCCACACATCGCCAGCCCCAACAGCAGTTATGCTTGAGTCCAGGAAACCAACTATGTTTTTGTTGCCCACTAGGTCCCTCTGTGTAAACAAACAGAGGGAAATTACCAATGACAATGGAGATAAAGCTTTCAGAGATTTCACAGTCCTAAAAGCTTTCATAGATTTTACACTTCTAAAACACTTGGCTTAACAAATTATATAAAACATCCATGTCAACTGTTCAGTCTATTTTTATCTGTAGAGACATGCTGATTCTCTGCCAAAGGTCTGGAAGTAATGACGATAACCATCCAGCAATAGTCATGCCACCCAGGGAGTGGCTGCAGGAACTGCTTAGTTTCACTTACATTAAGGACTCAAAGGATGGGCAAAGGAGCTTAGATGGCAACAGGCAAATTAAACATTTCAAGTGTTAAAGGGCCATTAATTAAATCACTTCTCTTACCATCACTATCCCTGGGTCAAAGAGTATTTTCAGATAATTTTCAGTGTTTGTACTTCCGTATGTCTCTGTGTGATGGTAAGTTACACACTTGCAACATTTTACTTGATGTCGTTAATCTTGGCCATTTTGCACTGCAAGCAGGTTAACATTAACGCACGCAGTCTGCTCTTACAACACATATTCTAGTACTGTCAAAGAGAAAATGCTGCACTCAGCCGTTAGTTACTGGACTGTCTTACTCACCATAATCTGTATCTCAAGTTTGCAGACCTGCAGATCATGTTCGTTGTTGACATACATCCTTTTGAGTGCACAACGTAGGCCTTGGTGGGTCCGCACCAAAAACACTATGGCAAAACCTCCTGCAAATGAGTTGAGAGAAAGATAAGGAGAAAGGAGAATGAGCACATACAAATTTCAAAGTACAACACCAACTACATACACTGTAATCCATATTTACAATGTCAAAATATCCTGTTCCTCTGCATTTTTGTACTTGTAGCTAACAGTGGCAATACCATTCATGTTGTCATACTGGTTTTTAACATAAGCTTTTCAATGATATTAAAAACTGGATAATTTCACTTTTTAGTTCAGCCACTGTCAGTTGCTGATATTCTGTAGTTCTCCACTCAGTGTATCTCACTCAAGTGTTTCTGACAGTGCCTTCAAACCAAATGTCCCTCAGCTGTACTCTGACCCTGACAGATGAGGTATATATTAATACTGGCAGCTAATGAGGCTGACTCATGGAATAGCAGGATTGGCTTTTGCTAACTAATCGATACATGTATGTATTTCATATTATCTTAGTGATGAAGTAAGAAAAACAGTCCTTCAAGGGAATACTGTATGTGATGACGCAATGGCCGGCTGGCTGGCATACTGGTAAGAGGCGCTTGAAACAGCACTGTGTGAGTCAGCAGCTGTGCCGAGGCGAAGGATGCAAGAAGCAGACAACACCGACAAGGGATAGCGACAGTAAGGGAGAGAATTCATCATCCCACCTTTGGTCACAGTGAAGCTGCCACTAGGGATGAAACGGTAACCGGTTTAATGATAAACCATGGTAAAATTCCCGACGGTTATTATTACTGTATACATTTTAATTACCATGATGGTTCCAGTACCGCTCACTATACTCACAGCAAATCCTGTCCAGCATCAACAAAAGTTAGACAGTCTCTCAGAAGCAGGCTAGTCATATTTTGGTTTTTATAAGAGAGCTGAGGGAAACTTGATTGCCAAAATTGCCTTATAGTGAATACAGGTGAGTTAACTTTTAGCTTTGGTTTGTCTCTCTGACTTTCTAACAGCTTGTAAACTGAAGCTCTCAGTGTTAGCTGCTCTTGTAAAAACGCTACAAATTGTTCTGCTGCTCTATGTGTTGTGTGTCTGCAGACTCTATTCGCTCACTGCACATAATAACGTTACGCAGTTTATCTGGCAGCTGTCAAATTAGTTGTAAAAGTGTGTGAACAGGAGAAACGCTGCAGACTCCTCTGTGTTTATGTCAGTGGTTTGGACTCATTGCAGTTACTTTCACTGTCTTCCAAACACTCAGCTGTATTCATGTAACTGTGCATGGGGTCATTGCATTCCTTGCATATTATATAAAATAACATAAAATTTAATGATAATGCACACTTAGATGGTTTTGATATGATTACAAAAAGTATTGGCTGTTATTATTTTAATGTTTATACAAACAAAATGTTAATTTTACTTGTGGTTTTCAATGTAAAATTGTTGAAATGGTTTCAGTGTGTGTATCAGCACATTTTAACAATGCCATGATAATACTGATAACCGTGATAATTTTGTCCACTATAATCGTGGTATGATATTTTCATACCATTTCACCTCTAGTATCCATGCATAGCAACGCAAACCACTGACAACCACATGGATGAATAAACATTCTTTTCAACAGAGTCAAGCCACAGTGAGATTATTCTGAAAGATTTTGTATTGGAAAATAAACCGTTTTGGTTGTACTTCACTGAATTACAGGATAGCCTATTTTCTTCACTGAGTTCTAGATATGAATGGACCTCAGCTTGCACTTGGTTCTCTCTTGATTTTATGTTGAGAGCACGTAGCAGATTTCACTGTGAAGGTCTGAATTTTGTTGTTACTGCAGCTCTTCTGCTCACAGTTTTTTTTTATCTCACAGCTTGTGTTAATGTCATGCACTGGGTTGACTCATCCTGCCAGCATTACTAAGCCAAGGACAGCTCCACGTGACTTGTCTGGGTGATGTTTGATAAAGACCGCCTTGGGCAACATTACTGTGTGCCGTATTATTTAAGAAATGAACGGAGTACAAAAATATGGGAGTCAGCAAAATGTAATCGTTTTTCATCAGGCTGGCCTAAATGGTTCAATAAATACAATAACCCTCAGACTTCTGAGGACCTGTATGTGACAGGGTGGAGCCAGGTCACAAGTTCACTAATGTCATCAGCTATAAATTCAATACTGGAAATTTCACAGTGAAGTGCAAAAATCTGCAACACAGTGCTGCACCAACAGACATGGTACTGGCTGAGTAATTACTGTCATTAAGACAGAGAAGTGATGTGCTTGAGAAGTGGGTTTAAATGAAAACAATATCAAACTAATTCAGTCTCTATCCTGAATCAGAATAGAGAGATGGGAGCACACTTCATGAGAACATGAAACACAGGTGTGTCTGTTTTTGTGTGTGTGTGTTATATGTCAGAGTTCAGACAGTTGAACCCCTACTGTCTTGCACAGTCTAATCTGAGATGCCTGTAAGGAATGAGAAGGATTAGCAGCCTTCTTACGCAACATTTAGCAGTGGTCTACAATCTCAGTAGACAAATAATTGTAAGCACAGCTACAAATAGCCTCCGCCTCTTGACGTAACTGACTGTCAGGATTATACCACTGTAGTTTATGCATACACAAGCAAATGCACAAAAAAATACACCTTTACGCACTTCCATGAATACAGTGAATAGTTATAGTGGTCTGTCACAATTTCTCATCAGTGTATTAGAACTTACATAACTACTCTCTAGGCTTTGGACTACTATGCATGTCCTCAGGACTACTATGCTGTTTATAAACATGCTCCCTGCAAGGTTACACAACAACGACAGCAAGAAATACCAGCACCAGCCTCACCTACTAGAGACAAAATTACTAGCATGGACTATCTAGTCTTAGTTGAGGAAAGTCTTTGCACAGGAAAATGTAATGACTCTGTTTTACAAATGAGTGTCATTGACTCACTGAAGCTCCATGTTGTGTAGTCTAATAGCAGGAACTGGGTACACATTGTCTGTTACAACATGTTACATTCACCTCCAGAACAGGGCTAATGTTATTAGATAGCCTAACTCTATACAGATAGAATAAAACATATCTTGTTGATAGTAAATGCAAAATGTTCCGACAACAATTTGAGAACAAATCACACATATCTGCCTGAAGCCAAAAGTCTAAAATAAAGACTACAATAATAACATGTTTCCAAGCATGAACTTTTAGGCCCGAAGCTACAAAAGCCAGTATGTCCCTCTGAATGCTTTTGTCTGTACAATGTGAAAAGTGTGTTCATTTCAGCCAATGACAACAGAGTTCAACAATGACAACAAAAGGAAAACTGGGTGGGGGGCATTTCCAAATGGAGCAGCCAGCTAACAGAAACTTAAAGCCTGGACTACAACCAAAACCATCTGAATAAATAGTCTAGTGACACTGGGGGGAGTCGTATTGCAAGCTGTAGGTTCACTGCTGGAGCAAGACAAAAATATGATCTGCAGAAAAACATTCCAACTAGGATTTGTGGAAGATTTTTAATATTGGGGAAATCATTCATTTTTACCATCTATGCAAAATTCTGAACAACTAACCAATCTCAATGTTTTCTCCTTTAAGTGAATGTCTGCATCAAGTCCAAAGTTTTTCAAGAACTGATAAGAAAACTGATAAGTCCACACTCACAGAAATAAACAAATTCTACAAACTGTTTCCACTGACATCTCATTGCAGTGTAGGGCTGAGGGTAGATGTCTAACCCATTCATAAAGCCACCATGTGGCCACACAGATGCGGCCCATCTATAGGACTGATGAATTAATCAGTCTTCTTTCATCTATTATTTAGTAACAGGCGCGCTTAGCTAACAGAGCATGGCAGACTCATTTTCTCATTGCAAAGACAAATGACCATAGGAAACCTGTACAACTCTCTCATGGAGCCTGTTTAACCGTATTCTGGTACAGACTACCTTGAAAGCAAAACATTTATCTACCTCACTCAATGAATAAGATTCACCCCCAGCTAACAAACGTGCCAGATTGTTTTAATACAGAAAGGTGTGTTATGAAATTTAGTTTTAAAGCCCCAACTTGTCAGTAGGTCATGTTTTATGTGGCTGAAAATGATATTGTTCATCCAAACATCTGAAATGTACATTTGTGATTTGGCACTCCCTTCACAAATATCAAGACAGATGAGTCAGCATGGCATTGGTCCTTTACAACAACAGAAAATCCAGTTTTACAATGTTCCTCCCAGCCTCTAAGTTAATAGTGCAGTCACGCAAAGAATAGTAAATCTGAACAACTTATAATTGTATACCACACCCTCCCCCACATTTCATATTTCATCTGTGAAATCGTCTCTTATTCCCCCCACTTTAATGATCATTACACAGAAGCAAGCAAGCTCAGGCCACAACTGAAAAGTAAAGTGAGGGCAAGTGAAGTACTTAAGAAGAGCTGCCTGCGGTGGTCACAACAGATCCAACATTGTGCCAATAAGCATGACAAATGCTATTACCATCTCTAAAAAAGGTTTTAGTGTATCATTACACTGGGGCTCTAGCTGGGCCATAACCCAACAAAAACAGGCCCACTCATTAATTAATGTTCCTTGTCTGCTCATCCTCACAACAATGTGGTGCAGTTTAGATTGTGGATCTAGTTAATCGTCTTTGTGTGACATGTTAGGCATTCATACAACAAAAAGCCACATCATTCACCTTCGGCGACAATTTCCTCGACGGTCACTTGATATCGTCCAATGGTAAAGACCCGTCCGATGAAGCTGCCACCGCCGCCGGAACCAGCGCCTCCTCCGCCGACTCCGGAGCCAGGCCCAGGGCCCACCAACTCCCGGCGAGAGTCAAAAAATTTCTTCATTTCCCACCGAGGTTAACCAAAGCACGGACAAGTCCAAAATGTATTCGTATTGTAACAACAAATATGAGTGGATATAACCAACCCCTGTTCGTCGAGGTGCCGGTGTTAACGCTGTAGCAGTTTTACAGTAATTGAATGAATGCAGCCAGCTATCTTCAAGCTAAATGCTAGCTAACTAGCTGGACCTCAAAATATTCCAAACACCTTTGTGCGACGCTCCTTTGCTAGCTCATAGTTTGAACAGCAGGCGGAGTCAAATATAGCTGAGGAAATAATAAGATATAATGTCCACACTGAAGTCACCGCTTTCCACTCTGGACCGAGAGCAGCGCTGGTTGGCTAAATTAGCCAGGTTATGAGCCCCGAAAAAACACTTGTTAGCCCTTAGCTCACTAAGCTAAGCAGCTAGGTGCGGTGACAGCTGTCAGTTGATAGACTGGCATACAGGTAGGTCCTTAGTGTCCAATGCAGCTTATTACACATCTCCGCTGATATCATCCACCCGAAATGTTACTTAGTTCACCAACTGCTCTACTCGTCTGTATTGTAGTAAAACTGACAGACCTCCACGGCTTGCGTGCGTCCAGCCGGCTGTAAGAATAAGGCTGGTCAACTAAGTTAATGACAGAGCTAACGTAGCTACAAACAGTGGATGCTAGTGACTCCTCTCCAGCTCCTCTCTGCGGACTCCCTCTGGCTGGACTTCTCTTGATGTGATTGGTCAAAAGAACAGCTACTTCCTGTAGTCTCTAGCTTTGGTCCCCAGTACAAAAACCAAATGGGCCCCACTCTTCAAATGTAACAACCTGTCCAGCTCAGTGCTGCACGGATCAGCTATAATCTCACAGGTACAGTAACTATAACCATCTTTTAGTAGTGCAATGCATGTATTGACTATTTCAAATAATATAGGAGATTAGAATTCGTTTTTTTTTTTTACCTTAAATACCTGTATGCAAGGTATCTGAGTGTTAAGGGAAACTTCACTTCTCTGCAATGAACGGCTCCTCTCTTTTTTACCACTGATCCATTTGAGAAAGCTTCCTTTTCTGTGGATAGAAATGGTACAATACAGCTTATTATGTCTTTGTTTACAATACAATACACCTGCAGTACAAGTTGTAAGATGAGGGCAGAAGGTGAGCTGCCAGCAGTAGAGAGGCTTTAGGGAGAACTCAGAATCTAATTTACAGGGATCCATATGAGGTAAGGTCTGAAGACAATGAAATATTGAATGCTGCAGAGAAATATGTGCCTACTGGCACAGCTCCACCAGGTAATATGTCTTACGTCTTAGAATATCTGTAATGATCTTCAAACAAACATTTCATATTTTGGGGATTTAAGTTGGGTTTATTTATTGTCAGAAAGTAACAAACCAAAAGTCTTGGCAGCGTTAGTTTTGGGATTGCCACATGTATCAGGAATTATATTTATGAGACAACTTTTATGGGAATCCTGCTGATCCCCGTTGTCTGTGGTGGTATTAAGCTCAAATATGACTTGAGAGTTGATAACCCATTGTGGGCAGCTGTGAACAATCCACAGTCTGTCTTTTCTTTTCTTTTCCATTTCTTTGTATGTTCTTCTTCTCTGTACTGAGATTATTATAATTCACTTTCTGCCATCTAATCTGTATCAAGAAATTGTGCTTATGTTTAAAGTTGTACTATATTGTGAGGTGCCTTGTGTACTGTTATTACTTCTTTCTTTTCCTTTTCTTTGACAAGTATAAAGGGAAGGAATATGTTAAATAAATCCTTTTCTTTCTTGCAAACCTACTGATATCGGTACTTGCAATCTTGCAGCAGAGTCAGTATGATAGGAATGTTCAACTTTATTTGCAACCCCACTGAAAAGTGCTAAAATGTGTTTTTAGTCAAAGGAATCCTGTTTGGCTTCAGTTTGCATTATCACATAAAAACAACAATGAGTAAATGAAAACCGCTCTGACACAAGAAGTCATGGGTCCCGCTCAAATATCTACAGTAATTCATGTAAACAGGGATAACAAACAATAAGAGAACAAGAATATTAAAACCCAGTAGACCTGCTTGTGTCTAACTTGAAAATCTGCCCATCAGTATTTAAACACAGGGAGTCTGTGGTGCATACACTTCTACTCTTACTGGGTTTTTTTGTTTGTTGTTTTTACATATAAAGAATGTGCATTTGTACTTTGGTGCATAGCAATAAAAATAGTAAGAGAAAGGAAAAAGAAAAAACTGTAATGCAAAAGTCAAGAATCAATCATCTAAAAGTATAAAATATAAAGAATTTGTGCAATGTCCATCCCTTTGTTGTTGCATCAATAGCCAAAATTATTAAAAATAGTCAAATTTCATCAGATGAAACATTGCACAATTTCTGAGTAAATATAAAAGATGTCTTTATGAAAGTCTGAGACTTTCTCCTGCAGGGGTCACTGTTTCATCACTAAATAAATGTGACCATGCAGACCCCAGTTGTTTTTTCACTTTCCACCAACTTAACAAAGCGTGATTCTTTGGACAAACTTTGACAAAATACTGTTCTTGCTTTTTTATGAATCTTTTTATTAATTGGTGGACAGGTTGAAATCTAAAAATAGATGATACAGTAATGGTTGATGGGACCAGCGTCAGTGTTGATAGTGTTGATTTTCAATAAGCCATTTTTTTAACATTACTCTTGAATGAGTAATAGTATGGCTCCATGAGAGAGGTTTAAAATTTCATGCAGGATGGATAGTGATAGGACTCTTTAAGTGATGGTGGTACTGAGTTCCATTGATGCGATGCTGTGAATGAAAAGACGGCCGGCTGAATGTAGTTTTTTTGAGTGGGATTGTGCAGACCCTGCTAGCTGCACCTCTGGTGCCACCTAAAGTGTTTGCAGCACAGATCATTAAGCCAGCACCAAGTACATGTGTTTTACATTTCTACTGTAAGTGGTTTACATACTTAATGCATAATGGGACTGTTTAAGAAACATGGATATTGAGTCATATCTCCCCTTGACAATGTATGTACGCATAATTGTTTGTTTACACAGTAGAGGACATTCATTCTACCACAGCTAATGCCTTGGAATCAACATAGCCACACTTTTTAAACATGTGGTGACCATTTTGCTAAAATAATTGAGCCATTAAGCTATTTGAGCAGCAGAGTTGTGTGCTCTGGTGATAAATGACAAAGTGCTGATGCATTCTTTCCTTGGTGTTCATCTACAAAATGCTAGATCTCTGCTGACCCAGAAGCTAAAGGTAAACATACTTCTTTTCTAATTTTGTGTGGTACTCTGAGAACCAAAACATCCTTACAATTTGGTGTCTGGATTTAGACAATGTGAAAAGGCACGGTCAAAAAAAGCAAGCATCATGTATGCATATCCACCAGTATTAGAGCAGAGTCTAATGGTGTCTGTGAACTCAGTAGAGAAGCAGTTACATCATTAGAGAAGTTGGATCTGCCGCTTTGAAAAAGGTCTCCCTAACTTTGATGTTAAACAATTTTTGTGTTTCGTAGTGGATTTGTTGTCACATTACTGAACCTCTGACATTTGACATATTCAAGATTTTGAAATATTAACGTGACTTCACTCAAAATCTGTCTTTCGAATATAAACCCTCTGTAGGCTTGAAAGGAAACAGACTGTGAGTTATTTCTTTTCTTTTATGTCAAAGTTGTAAAAAGTAAAACATTTTTCCTCATACCAAAACACCCATATGTAGGAACTTGTTCCACAGTCCTAGTTTTGTAAAAATATGACTAAATACACTGCTTCCCTCAGAATCACAAAATAACACAAGAGTTCTGGGTGGAGTGTCCCTTTAATGAAAGGCCATAAAACATCCCAACTGCAGATTTTTCTTCTTCATGCATGAAATGATTCAACACAAAATAGCATTGTCTTAATTCTCTGAGATTAAAGGGTCATGAAGTGGTATTAATGTTTTCTTTTTTTAATTATTTAAAAGTGTTTTTTTTTTTTTAGTAATTTCTAAACAGCAGAAAATGAAAACAAAGATTATTTTATGCTTTTAGCTTCATCTCACCTTAGTAACTGCCTGAATCCTATCAAATGAAAGGAATGAAAAGATTTCAAGCTTTGGTTGGCACTAATTGTGCGCCTGAGCACACTACAGAAATTGAAACCACTTAACATTAATGGCACAGCCTGACCTTTATCTTTCCTCAATTCCAGATAGGCCCTCTCATCAAGATGGCCTTTTTCAGCTTGAAATGACCTTTCATTATGTTTTTACATTGTTCTTAGGGTAATGTCATACAGTATATTGTCCATTGTCTATCTGTCGACGACTGGGTGTCGCAGCTAATGTTTTAACTCTAGGATGGTGGCTTATGTCAGTCCATACAAACACTACTCTCCCCTTATGGCGATTTGATCTTCAATGTTCATAAATGCAGAATTGCATTAAATAAGAAAAATCATCGCATGTCCGTTGGCCCTTAAACCAGCATCCAAGTTTTGATTAGATATTCCATCTAGCTTTCTGAAAACAGAACAAAGTAGTCATATGGTGATGTCTGTGTATTTTCAATCCCAATCAAAGCAGCTGGATCCCAGTTCTCAACAGATGGTAGTTTATTTTTGAAAAACAAATCTCACACGATTGTTAGATGAGGGACTGTCAGATTCCTTCCTATCTGCTGGCTTGTTTTGGCATTTACTACTATTTTAGAGTAGCTGAATATTAGACTTTTGGAGTGTGTGAGACATAATATACCCACATGTGAGAGCTGCAGTGCCCTCTTTCACTCCAGTAGCAGACACACCACACATCTGGATCTCATCCCCCTATAAGGGAAAGCCAATCATCACATACCTGAGCAAACACTCTGACTTTCTTGGGATTCAGCATTGGAGAGGTTCAAGCCTTAATTATTGCACCCATTTGTCAGAAGAGTAAAGATTTTCATAGGTATGGTCCAAACTCTGACATTATATAGAAATTCTGGACTCTGGCAGCTGAGCAGGCACATTTTGAAAGAAATCTGGCTCTCTTAAGAATACTGACACTGTGCAGTAAAGTGCATCTTGAGTATGAAAGGGAAAATTTTGGAGGAATAAGATGATCACATCCTTTATACCGTAGCCTGGTGCACGTCATGGTTCATGTCATAGAATATTGCTTTTTTAACCTGAACACAATCTGTCCCCCTTTTCTCTGCTTGAGTCTGCACCCCCTAATGTTCATCAGTTCCACACATTTGCCTCAAATGCTTGCTGGTAGTATAAAGGCAAAGGTATTGTACCATTTCTATCCACAGAAAAGGAAGCTTTTTTTTTTTTCATATATTCCAGCATCATGGGGCCTTTTAGCTAAAGTGTGTCTAAATGCTTTACAGAATTCTCCCAGCTTTTCTCCTCATCTGATTTTCCACCCTTTTTCACCCGTGTTGCACCGCATTCATTTTAGAAAAGGAAACAGGGAAATTAACAGTGCAGAAAATTGAGAGCAGATTTCCTTTTTGGATTTTTAGTTTGGCTGTGATGCATACAAGCTTCTTGTGATGCCTCATTGCCAGCCAACACAAGCGAATTCCTTTTTCATTCATCTTGAAGCTCTAATTTAATGAAACATATATTTTAAACCCCTGGAGTACAGAGACATATTGTCAGTGGTAAATAACAACACACAAAACGTGCATAGGTCAAAAACAAAAGGGCCACCTTTGGTTGCAGGCACTCCAAAAATACTGCTAGTGATGCATTAAGTTTTTTATTCTGATTTATTTTTAGAATTTAATGTGGCTAAATCCTAAACCTACCTACTATATCCTGGCATTAGGGCCGTAGCTGCCATTGAGGTCATGTCCTTGGTACTTTTAATTTGTGTGAATTTGTGGGGTTGCATTATTCCAATTAAAAACATATATGGGCATTTTATAAGTTGATTCTGGTATTTTTGACTCAGTATGTTTAAATATGACAGGTTTCTCAGCAACATCATTGTCCGATGAGTGCACACGCAGGAGGGTAGAAACAAACCAGACTGACTGAGCACCTAGGAGGAGATCAACATGAGAAGTTATTTTTGTGCCATAAACTGTGTGAATTGCAAGTAATGTGTAAAAATGTTCAATATACCAAGAAGCAAACCTCCTGTTAGCTCAGAGTGCATAATTAGCTATTAGCATCCATTGTTGTCAACAACTATTTGGTATAAGGAGAACTGACTTGTACTTGGTGAGAGCCATTCTTTTTATAAGCAATACTCACTACTGCCCTGAATCCACTTCGTTTGGATTCCTGTGAATGAACATAGGAACAATGTACTAGTAATATTAGTCTTGTCACAAACGGTCTGTGACATGATAGTGGGTCAACCTCATTACTATCCCAGCCTATGGGGTCGCATCAGCTGGGATAAAAAGTTTTCTAATATTAAGTGCTGCACAAGTGCATAAAAAATAAATATTCCAGCACACACCGGTATAATAGGATAAATGCTATTTTACTAGCAGATTACATTAAAAACAAACAGGTGCGAATTACACGTTTCACATGTTACTTCATCACATTCGCTTTGTCTATGAATTGTGTTCAAGGTAAGCCAACTTTATTTACATAACACATTTCACACAGAGGGCACATTCTGAGTAGTAAATTCACTGACAAAGCAGAGGGATACTGCGTCCCCTGCTGTCATGTTTGCAATGCAGATCACTGACATCAGGAAAAGGAATGATCAGCCCTTCAAAGAGCCGTGATTCTCATCACTACAAGATGGTGGATGGTTTTGCGTACATTATGTGTTCTTAACTCAAACAGCAGGAATTTCATATATACTAGCATTACTTATTTTAATGCTAATGTGTA